CCCCCCCCCCCAATCGTTACAAGTGATTATCATTTAGCTTCCGCAGACTTTTTCCTGAGGTTTGTTTTGTTTTGTTTTCATGGATCTGGCTCACACAGATACTGAAAATCCTGCATTGCATGGACCCCAGGGAGTGGCTTCCCCAGACAGAATGCTGTATCCATCTAACCCCAAAGGAGTTTTTGAACTGGACCATGGATATTGCTTCCAATGAAAGGTTTGTCCCCAACGCTTGCTGTGCAAACTCGGTTCCTTGTGTGGTCCCATCAGTCAGTTAGGTAATGAACTTGAGCACAGTTCTGGCCTAAGGACTCCGTCTCTGTATTTCTTTCTCAATCTCAGCTTGGAAGCGTTTTCTAAGCTCAGGCAATAGAATGATATCAGCATATCACATTAGTAACCAGAGGTAATTACTTCTGGAAGTGTTTGTTTAGCACGAGGTGGAAATGTCCAGCCTTCACATCCACATGGGTTACAGACTGTGCAAAAACCATCTGTATATAAAGTATGTTTGATTTTACTTGGGGGCTGTTTTTGGCTTGCTTTCTCTAGGTCTGAAATTCAAAGTGCAGCTCTGAGACTTGCCTCCAGAGTGATTGTCCATCACATGCAGACGAGTGATGAGGTAAGGCCGCCTGCCCTCACCTGGGGTCCAGGTTGTTGTGCTTTTTCACCAGGAAGATGTCAGCAGGCAGAGTCACTGTGGCGTGTATGTGTGTCCTCTACAAAAATACTGCTCTGTTGATTTTTCACTTTGGGTCTAACTTGTAAAGAATTTTTTGAGCATCACCTTTGACATTTCTTTCCTCTGGCTCTGGGCACATTTGATTGGAAGCCATGAGAATAACAGAGCCTCCTCCCCACCAACACACACGTACACACACACATACACACACACACACACATGCCCAGACCCCTTGTTTTTTCTTATTTTTCTAGCTAGACTCTTTATTTAAAGAGGGAATGAATAAGTCAGTTCCAAGGACTGCAAGTCACTAGGATTACACTCTAGTTGCTAAGTATGAAAATATATCACTATGGCTTGACTCTGACCCCAGAACACAACCCAGCTGGCCTTGCATGGAGCCTAGAGGTGTCCCACTTGTCTCACATGCCCTTTGGGAGTATGGTAGAACTAGAGTAATCAAAAGACTTTCCTGGGAAGAAGCCTTAAGACAAATACATGCACGCTTAGGGGTATATGAGAAAGATGCAACCGTCACAGAATTATTATAAGTAGAAGGCAGTTAGTGCTACAGTGAAACCACCTGAGGATCTTGGTTATGTATCACCACACTGTGCTAGTGTCAGCATGACATTGCGGATCCTGGTTCCTTACAATAAAGCCCCGCTGAGAGATGTCCTGGAGACACAGAGATGAATAGAGCAGGAGGGACAATCTACTGAGAGAAGAGAGTGTCTCATCATGACATTAAATGCTCTAGCTGGAAGGAGGCTGTGGGAATCCAGAGGAGGGAGGGAGTGTTTGGGGAGCTGAGGAAGACTTCACAGAGGAGATTGTTAAATTCCGAGAAACTGGGCCTGAGAGAGAAAACCAGAGGGTGAGAATTACGTAGATACACAGTTTCCTTCTGTCTTTTATTCAAAGGCAGGCCAGGGGACCAAAGCCAGGTGATCACTAGGAGATACAAAAAGCAAAAAAAAGTCAGTTGTGTGTGTTGCAGGGAGGGGAATGTTTGTAGGAAGAGAGAGGGTTTGCTAAAAAAAACTACAGCCCAGGGGGGAAAAAAACAAATTCTAAGAAAGTAGTCATGGGGCAGCCAAGAGAAATCTTTCTCATCTAAAGCCATTTGTCACCGTTAGTCACATGCATCTTAACGATGCTGGTTGGTACTTGAATGAACTGATATTTGATGAAAATTGGGAGTTTTCCAGGGAAAGAAAAATTAACAGAAATGCAGAGAAACACATAAAAAAAAGTTACTGGGTCCGGCTGGGCATGGCTCAGCAGTTGAGCATCGACCTAGAATCCAGGAGATCAAGGTTGGATTCCCGGTCAGGGCACACGCCCGGGTTGCTCCCCAGTCAGGGGCGTGCAGGAGGCAGCTGGTTAATGACAATTCTCTCATCATTGATGTTTCTCTCTCTCTCTCCCTCTCTTTTCCTCTCTCTGAAGTCAATGAAGATGTACTTAAAAAAAAAAAAAAAAAAGTTCCTGGGAAAACCTGGGTTTCTTTGTGCACTGAGAGTCAGAATCTTCCTTGAGGTCTAAGATGCTCATCAGTCTAGTTCCATGATAATCAGAGTCTCATTCTGAACATTTAAAGAGGCTTAGTTGATAGGGGAAGTAAAGTACATTTTCAACAATAACCGTTTCTAGAAAAAAGTAAAAAATTAAAAAAAAACAGGGTTTAAAAGATAGAAACAATCCAAATGTCCATCAACTGCTGAATGGGTAAACAAAATATGATATATCTATACAATGGAATACTACTCAGCCATAGAAAGTAATGAAGTCTAGATACATCCTAGTGCATGGATAAACCTTAAAAAATATATATGCTAAGCAAAAGAAGCCAGTCACAAAAGACCACACACTGTCTGACTCAGTTTATATGAGCTGTCCGGAAATGACTCGTCCATAGAGACAGCACGTTACTGGTTTAGGGGTAGGGGAGGGGGCAGATGGCAGGATGAGGAATGACAACTAAAGAGTGTAAAGATTTCTCTTTTTGTGATGGTTGCACAAGCGTAAATATGTGAATTGTACATGTACTTTAAGTGGATGGATTATATTTCAATAAAATTGTTACTATAAAAAAACAGTGCTTTGTTTAAATAATAATGTTAGTTAGGATGCTGCTTTAACTGTTGTAACTGAAACCCATCGACGCAGTGGCTTAACCCAGTGGAAGCAGTCCAGAGCAGACAGGGTGGCTCGCGAGTGTTGGGTCCCCGGCCCTTGGCCGTGATGGTCAGCATCCTCAGCAGGGCCCCAGGTGCTTGCACCAGCCCCGTCCTCATGTCCCCCTTCAGCTGGCAGGCAGGAGAGACTCAGGAAGTGAAGGCCACGCCTGGTGCTGAAAGCGCAGATACCACTTCCCGCGACAGCATATTCTTCAGAATTTAACCACGTGTCACGCCCAGAGTCAAGGGCGTCTGGGGAATGGAGTCTTTAGCTGGGTGCCTGGGTGCCCAGCCAGAACCTAAGGTGGTTTTGTTAAAGACAGAAGTATCTGGTTATTGGGGACAGTGAGTATTGTTGCCATAGTCTTTCCCCCAGAAGTTTTGTCTTGACGGAAGCTGTCAAATGCACCAGTTTTCTGATAACCTGATTTGCTTCAGAGAAGACTCAAGGAACGTGCTTCCCAGCTAAGGTGACCCTGTATTACTGAGAGACAGGTCAGATTTTCTTCCCTGAGCGTGTCCATTCCTTCCTAGTTGGGATGAAAACAACTGAAAAACTCTCCTTCCCGTGTGCAAGAGCTAATTTGCAGGTCCAGTTTGGTGTGTGTAGCTCATCCCTAATTTCATGATTGTATCTTCTGAACTGCTCTAAATGTTGTGCTTTCAGACCAGGGACTCCGTGGCCCCCGAACTGAAGCAGTGGGTACAGTTGGTCATCTCGTCTTGTGGAGATCACCTTCCCACGGAGTCCAGGCTGGCCGCTGCTGAGGTCCTCACCAGCACCACCCCGTTTGTCCTCACCAACCCCCAGCCCGTTCTCGGTAAGCGCAGCGAGCGGGGAGATGTCCACTGCACTAAAGGTGCTCAGAGTACCACTAGGTGCTCCCGGTCAGAAAGGAGGGAGGGTGAGAAATAACCGTGTGCGTGACATCTTCACATCTTTCAGGCGTGTGTCCACCCTCTTAGGTCCTACTCTGAGCATTTCCCATCAGTAGCCTCGTAAGTGGCCTCTTTTTTTTTTAAATTCTCACCTGAGGATATGTTTTTTATTGATTTTTAGAGACAGAGAGAGAGATCAATGTGAGAGAGAAACGTCAATCGGTTGCCTCCTGCACGTGCCCGATGGGGTATCAAACTCCCAGCCTTGTGGTGTCCAGGACGAGGCTCCAACCACTGAGCCACTCCGGCCAGGCTGCCTCTTTTCTTTCTGTCTTGTCCCCGAAGCCATTCTCTTTATGCTCCCAAAAGCTTTTGTGGTCTTTCTAAAGTACAGATCTGATCATTTTACTCCACGCTTAAAACCTTTGGGTGGGTTTCCATTGCCTTCAGGATCAAATCTAAATGCCTTTTAACATGGCTCACAAGGCTCTTCCTGTTCTGTGCCTTGCCCACGTCTCCCTCCTCGTCGGCCAGCATGGGCCCCATGAGTCATCGGTAGGGAACAGTTCTAGAAACAAGCTGCTGCTTGACTGACTTCTATTTGCCTTTCAAGACTAGGCCTAACCGTCACCTCTTCCGGGAAGCCTGTTGCAATGATCTTGGTGAGAAATGAATGGGTCAGTGTGAAGCTGTGGCATTGAGGAAAAAGAAAGGACAAGCTGGAAAGGATGTAGGAAGCTGAGTCAACATGACTTGGTACTGAGGTTCATGTAAAAGGGAGATTCAAGGATTAAGTTTCTGACTTAAGTGACTGGAAGAACTGCTGGTGTCTTTAACTGAACTTAGTTTTTTATTGTTTTTTTGTGTTTTAGTTTGTTTGTTTTTTTAATCCTCACTGAGGATATGTTTTCACTGATTTTTTTAAAACATTTTTTTATTGATTTTTAGAGAGAGAGGGAAGGGGGGGAGAAAGAGAAACATTGATGTGAGAGTGAAACATCGGTCATTTGCCTCCCGTGTGCACCCTGAATGAGGATTGACTGGCCATCGAACCCTACCCTTTGGTACCTGGGACATCGCTAAAAGCAACTGAGCCACCCGGCAGGGCTGACCTTAGTTTTAAGTTTAAAAAATCTCTGGGACATAAAGGTAGAGAAATTTTGGAGTCACATGTACAGAGCTTAGCTAGTTTCCAGCCATGCACTCCACCCGCAGGTCTCTTTCCTCACAGCCACGCCCTGTCCTTCAAACATAGTAATTAGGAAAGAACATCATGTCAATGGTGTTTGACAAAACCAAGCTTTAGGAAATCCTAAGGAATTCAAAGCACAGAGGTTTTTGTTTAAACATTTTTGTAAATTTTGTAATTTTATTTGTTTTTAAGCATGGAGTTTAATAAAAGGAAAAACCCAGAACCTAAAGCCATGCCTCAGTCCCGCCCTGCCCTCTCCTGCTGTCTTATGCCGGTATTATTGTGGAGTGATTGTCTCCCATCCACTCCTGATATTCTGCTTTTGTTCACCTCTTCCGTGCCCAGCCCCGCAGAGTAAACCATGGTCCCTGTGTCCAAGGAGCTTTTGGGGTAGTTGCAGAGAAAGGATTTACAGAATAAAGGAGAGAATTGCTTTTTTAGATGGTGAGATTCAGATTTGAAGTGGTGTTGGAGTTCAGACCAACGAAGCATCCCCATGTCCCTGGAACTCGCTGGGAAACAAAATTGTCTGTGACGTCCTTTTAATTCTTTCTTCTAAGTGCCTTCCAGGCATTTTTCTTACACCCAAACGGGGACTGAAAGGGGACCTTCTGTGATTGTGATTTAATCATTGGACCCAGAGGAATAAGAACAAAGGTTTATAAACTTTGGTGAAGTTTCTCCAGTGAGAGTAATATTTTGCAGCACATTTTTGGGGTGACTTTGGCTACTCTAACCCTAGCTCCTATCAGACAAAATGTGTGTGGAATAACATGGGATTCCTGAGTAAAACTGAGTCCTGGCAAAAGCCATTGGTTCATAATTACTGGAGCTGGTTATAGCATTGTAGGCAGTAAGGAAGGTCAGAGGTGGCTGACAGCCTATAAGAACATGAAAGATGGGTATGGAACTGAGAGACAAAGGACATAAAAGTGCGTGGGGACAAGTCAAGGACAGAACAAAGTCATTTAAGGAAAAAGATAAATTGAAATGGGCTGGAGGGAAGGTTGCGGTTCTTGAGGGCATAAATGACCATGTTAAAGGGAAAATATTAAACCCTAGAGAATATTAAAATGGATAGATTCTGAAAGACTGAGTAAAATTTAAAGCCAGATTTATAACAGAAAAGAGAGACCAGAGCCACAGAGAAAGCCACTGCTCTTCTTGGTATGACTGAAGCGGCAGTGGCTGGTACCTGGTTCCGCACGGACAGATGAGAGGGTGGACTAAGCAGAGCTCAGGACAGGGCCGGTTCTCCATTAAAGGCCGGGGACCATGAGTGGCAGCCCTGGCGCCCTCCGTTGTGATCCTCCACAAGCCTGGGCCCACCCACCTGTGCAGCATGTATCCTTTCTGTGAGGCCCTGCCCACCTCACCTCCCTCGTGAAGTCTGCCTTGGTTGCACCAGTCCACTGTGATCTTGCCCTGTGCTGAGTCACAGCCACACGTTTCTAACCCCCCTGACTTCTCGTTGCCTTGTGCTCTTGACTTGATGTTCCTCTTAGGTGCTCAGGGGTAGACACCGTCTTTTCCTGTTCCATCGTCCACAGCAGCACCTAGCACGGGGATAGACAGAGTCCCTGCCCAGGAGTAATGGCAGTCAGGTAGTGAGCCCCACGTAGACGTGGTATGGGCTAGTGCCTTTATGGTATAGACAGGTTCCTTGCCCTTTTCAATTCTTGCCCCCAAAGCATCATCTTGATTGAAATTTTGCTTTCAGAATATATAAGCTCAAACAGTCACTCATATCAACACTGGGCTAGTTTCCCCCAAAGCACTCTTGATGCATAATGTTTCATTCCTGAGAATTGTGAGTCATCACGGACAGCTAGGCCCAGGCCTTAGTCAGCCAGGGCACACCTTCTGGGGGCCTCTCCTGGGGCTGGTTGCCTCCAGAAACCTTTACTCCTCAAAAAGAAAG